TTGTGATTATCAGTGGTCTTTCAGTGGTTAGACTCTTTTTTGTGGTTGTTTACTGATGTATTCAGATTTATTTGGAGAAACAACCTATAAGTTTTCTTTAATTCAGTTGCTACTCCATCATTTCCAAAAACGTTTATTTGATAAAGGAGTAATACTGATGATGATTAGGTTATTATGTATGATGACATACGATTCAAAAGAAGACTTCAATTGTTATTGCGGTTTCAATTTTTTTATGATCATAATCCCTAAAATTTCTTTGTGATTAGTTGCATTATTAAGATTGTATTATTTTGTTTGAATAAATTCAGTATTATTTCCAGAGTTAAAAAAAATATAGACTGAGAAAAGAAATGGCCATGACAAAAGACATGGAAATAGAAGAAATAAGATTTTGCGTGATTTATTAACCCTTTTATATGCGTTGGACATCCTTGCACGTAATTAGTATGTATTATGTAAACCTATATCCCCTAATTATTTAAAAAATTAACAACTCCATTTTCATCCCTTGATAATTATAGCTATAAATAGACAGCTTTTGAGTAGGCTAATTTTGTAAGTGATGTTTGAGTATTAAATATTTGGCTCAAAAGTTGCATTATTAAGATTGTATTATTTTGTTTGAATAAATATTGACGTTAGACATCTCCTATATAAATGTTCAAATTATACCTTTTGAGCTAAATAAGTGCCTTCATTTTTTTTGCCCATATGGCTGTCTAACGTTACAAATGTTATCACTTTATGTGTCCAGATTGTCAACGACGTTAGTTTTTTCCGTTAAGTAACACCTGTCAAAACTTGGTAATTTTTAATTTTTTATAAACTAATTTTTTTTTATTTTAAAAACTACCCCAAAACCCTAAATCCTAACCTTAATCCACTGTTGTCGACCTCTTCGGCCACGACCACCGCCGTCAATGTAGCCATTGCCATCATCCTAGTTATATGTTGTCGTAGTTGTTGCCTATTCACCATCAGAATCGTGTGGGATCACATTTTCATCCTAGGGTTTGCAGGATTTAAAACATCAATTTGTTGTCGATCGGTCGTCAACCACTCATGATTTCATAGGGGTTTTGGTCGTCGGGAGGAGGGGAGGTCAGGTAGAGCTTCTTCGACTGCAAAGGGTGGCGGTCGGTGTGGGTTTAGGTATTAAAATGAAGGTTTTCAAAGTTTAGGGGTTATTTCAAAATGTATGTGTTTTATTTTTATAAAATATATAATTTTATTTTTTAAATTTTATATAATTTTTTTTAAAATTACAAGAATATGACACGTGTAACTTAACGAGAGAAACTAACGCCGTTGATGGTCCGGGCACCTAAAGTGCTAATGTTTGTAACGTTAGGAGATTGAATGGACCAAAAACAATGTAAGCACTATTTGACACAAAAAATATAATTTGGGCAGTTATTTGGGTATTAACCCATTTATCTATATTATTAATCGAAAGCGCTTTAACAAGGAGGGAAAAAAGGCAACCCCATAGCTCCAGCATGTAAGATAAAAGTTTGACAAATTTTAATATACTAAATTTATGATTAATATACAATAAATTTCAGATTTTATCTTAGTTGTGTTAAAAAAAATAAAACCAGTTAATCTATGATTACTTCATTCATCCGTAACAATATAATAAAAAACTGTCTGAAATATCCTCTCCCCAATTGGATCCCTGCGACTCAATTGTGTCAAACAGTCAACTACATCGTTATCAGATCATCATATATGTACTATGTGTATTATATAGTGTAAAATTAAAAAAAAAATTACACAATTTTAGAATCGTTGGATGAGTAGAAATTAAAAGTTTATATTACCAGTAATAAATAAGAATACATTCATTAAAGAAAATATAAACAAAGAGTTAACCTCAATATTTAGAAGAGATATGGTTTATAATATGTTGGAAAGAAAAGTTAAATGGTGGATGGGGATATGTAGTTGTTAAGAAAGAAAGGCGTGACAGAAGAAACAAAAGGTTCCACATGATGCGTGTCTTTTGGAAAAAGTCTCACGTACGTCAAATTTAATATTCAATCAAGAAAATATGTTATTGGTTTTGTTATTAATTTTTTAACAAAATTTGTAAAAAATTATCAGAAACATTATTATTTCTACCGGTTTTATTATTATTGGACGTTTTACCGGTTTTGTTAACATATTCGATAAAGTACTATCGGTTTTGTTATTTTTTCTATCGATTTTGTTATTATTAGGTACTTTACTGAAAATATTAAAAAAATATTAATATTTTAGGTAAAAATAATAATTTTTATGTAATTTTTTTACCATTTATTAAAAATAATAACAAAACCGATAAAATATTTCCTTAATCATATATTAAGACTATTTAACGGTAGAACTTCCGGGCCTTTTGGACGTGATTACGAAAATGGGACTGTCATTGTCCTTACCTGTGGCGGCTCCATCTCATTGCAACTCTCCCCTCCCCTATTTCATATTCCACTTCTAATCATTCAATTTCCTCACTTGTTACCCTACTTCACAGTATATCCTTATCATTTTCTTTTAATACAAGAAAACCCAATTCGAAATAATAAATTTAAATGTAATTAGGATTGCCCTTCTCTACTTTTATTCGATTTTCATTGACTTAGAACGAATCACAACTCCATATATGTGTTTAGGTCTATAAAAAGCACCCGGACTTGTTCAAATAAAGTCACAAAGTTCAAGGGCTCGTTTGGTATTTTAGACTAAACTTAATCATATAATATGCTCCCATTGAGCTCCTCAAATGGTGATTTTAACTGAGTTGAGTAGCTCGAGATTGACTCTGTCAAAATTTGATCAACCTAAATTTGATTCGAAACTTTAATGAGTCGAGTTGAGTAAGATCAATTTGTCTCGAAAAATTTACGGGCAATTTGTCATTTTTTTTTAAAATTTTTTAAGACGTTCATTGTCTTATTTTTAAGTTTGATTATCTATTGTTAATCCTTTTTTTCAAGAATGATTGTAATATATTAGTGTGATGTATTTGTAGATTGTTACTTGGTTGTAATATGTTATTTTGGTGCATCTTTGGATGTTACTATATAATTTAGAATTTATAATTGAATCAAACGCTATTTTACTTTTTTTTTTGTTAAATTTAGTAATCTATGTTTATATTAAGATCTATATAACATTGATAAATTTTACATATATTTTAAAAAATAAGATAAAAATTCTAGCGAGTTTAATGAGAAACAAGTCGAGTCGAATAAAATTTTATTAAACTTAACAAGTATTAAATCGAGTCGAACATGATTTAAACAATTTACAAATTGAATCGAACACTGCTGAAATCGTGATACTTGTTCGATAAACAGTCCATTCCTCAAATATCACCCTACCTTCTACATATAAGCATTGGTTATTCTTTAGGTGGGAGAGGGTCGAACATATGCACAAAAGAAATATTTTCTGACAGCATTAATTGATTATATTCTTTATCATTTTATCTTAGGATAATCAATAGTAAAGTATTATAAGAGCTACGAATTCTTATAAAAAAATCGGTACAAAGAAATCATGTTTGATGCTCATTGGTTAGTAGATGCGGTGATTAATTGGCAATTCTTAGTAGTTAAATGAATGGACCTAAAATATACAGGTTATATTCTTAAATATTTTATAAAAAAATAAAATGTAAAATATAAAAATCTATCAAATTATTATTGTTTCTTATAATATAAAATAATTTCAAATATATGAAATAAATATAATATCAGAAAACAATTTTATAATCGTAATATTTTATTTTAAAACATATCATTCTCGGATGTTGAATAAAATCTTGAGATTTTTTTAAGGTGTGAGACCACTCATTTTGGAAAACAAATGGCAGTATTAATATATTATGAAAAAGAATGTTGCAGCATTTAAGGACAAACATCACGACAAATTTTGCTTAGTATTCCTTTGCTCTCTATATAGCCATAAACTTCCAAATCTATATGTGTAACACAAGAATACATTTTACAGTGAAAGCTCTGCCAATCCTCAATGGATTCTAGCACCCTGTTCCTCAGAATCATTCAATCAGTGGGCCACATCCTCCTCTCTAATTTATTTGACAGCCTTACCCCTATTCCATGTAAGTCCAACAACTTCAAATGGAACATGCTTTTTGGTTCATAATTATAACTTCTGTTCCATTTTGATTACTAAACTCTCATTTTCTTCATACTTATGCTTAAACTTAGTTTTGGTTTCATTTTCATCATTTACTGTTAAAAAATTAAATAAACTGGTGGTGTGTTATTTTTTTTAAATTTTTCAATGATGACGTAGTATTACCTTATGGTGGGACATCATATTCACCGTTAATTTTTTAACGGTGAGTGATCAAAATATAATCTTAGGTATGATTTCGGAACAAAAAAATAGTTTACTGACCAAAATGGAATAAAAATGATAGTTGGGGTTATGAAATGTGTAAATTACCGTATTTGTTTTAGAAAATGAATGATCATGTTATTTAACAGGTTTTTGGGTTCCTTCAGATGCAGATATTTTATGGTCTGTAATGGGTTCCTTCAGATGCAGATATTTTATGGATTGTAATGATATGCTTGGATTAAATTATGGGATAAAACAAAGTTTTTTTTTTTGCATATGTGGCTAAAATTTGGGTAAACTACACATTTAACACCTAAAGTGTCAATTTTTGTCCAATTTAATACCTAAACTTTCATTTTTTTAAAACCATATCTAATATTTAGTTTTTGTTTCATTTTAGTATCCCACCACTAAAAAATAATGCATTTAGTACCTAACTATTAATTTTGAACGGTTTTAATAACTAAACTTTCATTTTTTTTCAAAACTTAACGCTAAATTTTGAACTAGTACTAAAGTGAAACAAAAAATTAAACTTTAAGTATGGTTTTGAAAACAATGATAGTTTAGATACAAAAACGCATAATTTACCCTTAAAATTTTTGTTTAATAGAAAAACGTAAGCAAGAGAATGAGACAGAATATAAAACCAGTCTGTGCAATGAATTGAAGTCGGTTGAGGAAAGAACTAGTAGTAATTAATTAAGTAGCTTAATTTTGTTTTCTTACATGTAGAAGAGAGGTGATTCTACTGATTGCCATTCTGTATTATCAATGGAAATTGAAGGCCCTTTGTCCATCACTAATGAGCTTTTTATCACCACCTCACGCCATGAACATGAAAAAAGAAGCATTTTTTTTGGCCTTTGGGTCTTCCTTTCAAAGTAACAAGTCTGTTTTTATTTTCAGACAAGAAGAGGTTCAGCTGTTTCTGTGTTGAACCCAGTTGGAGAACACTTGGAGAGTGTTCATGTCGGCTCTGTAATGCTTCTGTACGAACTCATGCAGCATAGGCCATGTAAAATCTGGGTACACTCGTGGACTGTTTTGGTTCACCAACTCGGCTGGTGGGGCTACCACTTTATCACCCGATGGACACAAAAAGAAAGCCAGAGATTTTCTTGTCTTTTGGCTGTTCACGACCGCCCGGTGCAAGCAGCTTTTGTATCTCCCGTTCGACAGTGCCTGAGAGAAGAAGGAAAATAACCCCCTCCGTTCACCAACTACAGTAAATTAATATGTAAAGGAAAAAAAAAAGTATGTTACCATAAAGGTGTCGCCAATGTTAACGACAAATGCTTCGAACTTCGGGCTGATTGAGCGCCATTCGTTGTCTACAAACACTTGAAGGCCACTGACCCTGTCTTGGTGAAGGATGGTTAAGGACGTTGGATCGCAATGAGGCCCTGTCCCTAAAGTGAGGTCCGGTTTTTGACAAGGTGGATAGTAGTTTAGCCTCATTATTGAATTTTTCTCAAAGAATTCCCTGAAATGTGATCTGTTTACGCCCAGGCTAATGGCTAAAATCTCCATTATCCCTAACGAAAGCTTGCTCATCGCCAAGCAGTAGTCCTGGTAAGCCCTCCTACACGCCAAAAAAACACACACAAAAAAGGAACTTTAGATTTTACCACAACAATAGATCGGTTTTCGATATTTAACATGCGAGTTTCTCACCCGAATTGCCGGAATTCGACTCCCATTTTATCAACGAGGTAGTCTTCCACCATCTTCGATGAGTTATTCTTAGCGGAATAGCGAAGCGAAAGCGTTTCCTTCCATGGCAACTTGGTGGAGAATCTGCCTGTGAAGCTACTAGCATATCCACAATCCTCACCGAATAGTCTTTGAGCCCTTTGCTTTTCGGATAGAGGCAATTCAAAGAAGTTATCCATATAACCATGAGCATCGGTCAAGAGTTTCGAACCGACTCCGTGATTAACGACGAGAAAGAAACCGTGCTTCCGACACGCCTCGCTGATAAGCCTTGAAGCTTCCATTGTGGCAACAGGGTCACCAGAAAGGAAGCCTCCTAGATCAATGAGGGGTACTTGGAGTTCTGGTGGATTTGCGCAAGGCTTTTCATCATCAGGCCATATAAATTCTTTCGGAATTCGGGATTCGAACCGAAGGACCGACGCGTCGAAAACAAGCTTTCTCAGCTCATCGTTTTCTTCGTCTTTTGGATGGCGAGGCATTGATGGTATGCTGGAGATGCAGTCAATAGCCACTGCATGAAGAGTAAATATAGTGATGACTAGAAAGGATGTTTTATATATTTGTATGTATGAGTGATTTTGAGATGAGTTAAAAGACAGACAGAGAAGGGAATAGTGAGTGAAAGGAAAAGAAGGGAAGAGAAGCTGGAGAGGAGGGATAAAAGAAACGCCAAGCCCGTTCTCATTGGGGAAATCAGTGAACAAATATTGGAATCTTATAGTGCAGGCAACGGGTCGAGTTTGTTTGGATTTTTGGTCAACTTGATTGAACCTTAAAAATATGTATCTTCTGTTTAAATTCGACCCGATCCAAAATTAATATATTTTTCACTCGACTTGATCCGATTCGAAAAATATATATCTTCCATCGACTTCGACCTGACCCGACCTAGTATAAAATAAGGACTTAGTTTAAAAAATAATATTTTTTTTAAGAAAATTACATTATTATATCTGGGTCGGAGTTTTTCACCCTCCACTCGAACTGAGAATATCTCGCTCCCTTAAAAAATATGACCCGACCTGATCCGATCCGGTATAAAATAAGAGCTTAATTAATTTTTAAAAAAAATTATATTATTATCCTCGGGTCGGAGTTTTTCACCCTCTACCCAAACCGATACTATCTTACTCCCTTAAAAATCAAACTTGACTAAACCAAACTTAATTTTTTTAAAAGAATTCAACCATATCAAATTAGATCAGGATCGATTTCAATTTCGAGTTAAATTCTCATCCCTAAACCTATAACCTTTCTCCCCACTCTTATTTATGTTTTTGCAAATAAGGTGATACTCAAATGTGGAAATTGCAATATTGTTCCTTTGTCAATTGGAAAATTAAGTAACATGCTACTATTCCTATGCATGAATCAATTGAAGAGGATGGATGGAAACGTCGTTGTTCTAAAAATTTTAAATTATCATATATTTTAGATTTTTTATATTTTATATTGATAATATATTTTCTATTGATAATATATTTTCATCTCTAAAATTTTACAAGTTCAACCTCTTCTAAAATTTTAAAATTTCGCCACCATGATAAAATCTATACCCTCCTTATTTTTATGGGTGAGTTTACTCATAATTTAAAAATGGTTATAACTTTTTCTCTACATATTTCTTAAACTAAGAATTAACTTTCAATCCTTAAATAATTATAGTAGGGGATACTATTTACTTAAAAATACTTAAAATTATATCAATTAAATTAATATTTAATCAACAATTAAAATCATATTTATATTAAAATGAAAATCATTGGAGGCTATTTTATCATTTGTTTTTTGTTAAGTAATTATTGTTACGAGTTATATTATTTAAGAATGGATCGAAGGGGCGGGTGGGGCAGTTATTTTTCAAAAAATATAAAATTATAATATATTTTAATATTTTTATGTACTTTATTAAAAAAATATTTTTGTTTCCCCTAAATTTTATAAGTTCATCCATTCTTAAAAATTTAGAAGAATATCCCTAAAATAAAATAATCTGTTCGTGCCTATTATTTCTCCAAAAATAAATGTTTACCATTGTTAAAATTAAATATTAGTTTGAAAACATCAAAATTCGCATGCATATTATAATAATTATACAGTAATAATTTTAATAATATTTTTTGAAATATTACGCATTGTAAGTTTAATAAGTTATATTTGAAATAAAATATATATATTTATGGAAATAAGAATAAAAGAAAATATAGGGTGTTGCTTGATAAACTGAAAAATTTAGTGTTAAATTATTAATATTAAATTTTATAAGTAATCAATTCATAAAAAAATATTTAATGAATTAATGAAAATCAAAATTATGAATTTATATGATATTTAGTTATAATTATAATATAAAATTTAAAGGAAATATGGCACATACATTATTTAAAAATAAAAAATTCTCCATATTTCTTGTTTTACATATTGTTTTGTTTTGTTATCTTTATTGTATATTATGTTATCAATACGATTCTTATGAAAATTTCTTACTAGTTAATTAGTAGGAGAAAAGGACCGTCAGGAAACTACTACTGTAAAAACTATATAAAACAATACCTTTTGGATCCGAAAAAATTATTATTTTATCAGAAGTTATTTGTTTATCGATAAATGAATGAATACTTATTAATTTAGAGAATATTTCATACTTTATGAATGTGTGTTTTTTTTGGGTCAAAATCTAATATACATGTAGATGCAATGAATCAAAGTTAATCCCGTAAGTGCATGTATCAAAGTTAATTGGTTCATATAACAAAAAGTTAATTAATTGGTTCATGTAACCAAAAGAAAAAGTAGTTAATGGTTTCAAAATCCACATATATATATTCATTGGATAAATTTAAAATTTTACTATAAATAAACACCTGTATCTGTCAACAATGGATGATTTATTTTTTTTAAATGGACACATATATATTAATAACACCAATTTTTGTATGTGGTGGGAACAATTAAAATTTCACGTTGAGCATTTTAAATAAAATAAATAACTAATATAAAAAAATGAAATTTATTTATCCTGACTTTACATCTGCCACTGAATATTGTATTTGGTACAACTTTTTCCTCCGTGGCTCCCCATTATAAGGCGTAAAAAAGTTCAAATTGACAGATGAGATGAGGAAAAATATTATATGAGTATAAAATTGAGCATCCCTCTTCAAGTCAAAAAGATTTGCAATAGTAGGAAAACAAACATTTGATCTCTCTAATAGCCAATTAAAAATATCAAGTACACATCTGAATATTTTTAAAAAAAATAAAAACAGCAATTTTAAAAGACACAAATCAGCCGAATATCTCGAATTAGAGAAGGTATTGTAGGAGTAATTTATCAAATATTAAGAGAAATTATTCAAATTAAAGAAAAAATGTTTATGCATGAAATATATGGTTATAGAAATTCGAAATTTAAATTTTGAAGTGATGGGCCAGAACGGTTCAAGCAATATATGTGATTAACCTTCTACTTGAGATTTATTATCGCGTCACTTTTATTCTAGCATCTTAGAAGGTCACGAGAAAGGATAAATAAATCATAAAAAGATCAATGTATTAGATGCATTTCATTCTATTAAAGCAACTTCAAATATTGACTTGAAGCCTACAACTATTGCAAGTTGTTCCGACATTGCAAAGCTCGATGTTGGGAAAAAAAAGGTGAATTACATTTATAGATTTAATATTTATATTAAATTTAGAATGATTTTAAATATTATAAATTAAAAGATATTATTTAATTTGAATATTAGTATGCTAATTATTTTTTGAATATGCCAATTTAAAAAGATAATTATTATCTTTTTAACTTAATTATATACTTTTGAATATTTTAAATTAAAATAATATTTGTTTAAGTTTGAATAATAAAAGGAGTGTATATCTTTTTAATATTTTAAATTTAAAAGATATTATTATATGTTTAAATTTAGATATTAAAAGATATCTGGTTGGAGTAAAACTATCTTGAAAATTCCCTATAAATAATGAGTAAACCTGTTAGGTTTTTCATATCTCGAGTGTAGATGTTGATTTCATCCGGGGTTTCAATCGAGCTTTGTTTGGGATATATATATATATATATATGGTCATATTATTATTAATTATATGTATGATTAATATATGTTAATTAAATAAATTGAATATATATAAGGCATTAATCTTTTCATTTACTGTTACAGACCCAAACCCGAAGTGGCTCAACTGAAGCAGACCCGAATCCATAGTAGTCTAAGAGTTTAGGGTTTGGGAAACCCTAGCTATATTAAGCCTCTAGCGTTGCCCCAAATTACAGTTGTCGAATTCGACAAGATTTGACAAACCATATCAAAGCAGATTAGGGTTAACACTTAACCCATACACAATTGAATACTAGCCGTTGGATCTAATTTTAGATCCAACGGCCCAGATGCTAAAGAGATTTGGGTTTACCCTAATGCACCTAGTAGTTATCGTTGTCGCCGAAGCCCGATCGTTGATCTACCCTGCGTCTGAGATGTACGTTTGGCTCAGTACACACGCTCTCGATTCCATAAATGTATTTATTGTCGTCGCTACCACCGGATTCATCACCGGTTGCCTCGAGGCGGACGAAAAGAGCCTATGGGTAAAAAATATGTACCCCATCCTTTGCATGCACTATAGCTGCCCGATTTAGGGCTTTGTCCCCGCCGAATCACCATCCTCGGTCAGAGCACCCAAAGCCAAAAAAGGAGAGAAAGGAAATAAAAATTAGAGATCTCTTTACATACAATAAAAAAAGTCAAAAGAGGAAGGACCTCTATATACAATACAACAACACATCAAACGGGAAAACAGGGAGAAAAAACATAGCAACACAACACTAAAAATCATATTTTTCTTTGAGAGACTTTAAAAACAACAACAAAAAATGGGAACTTTTCGAAAGCAAAGATGAAAATCCTGAGTATAAAAAGAAGAAAAAGAAAGGGAAAAAGGAGAAGAAGCTTACATCGCCGTCACTAGAGTCTTCAAGCGTCGTCAGATAAACATGTCTTTCGAAGGTAAATTCTTAGATCTAGGGAGCTTTGTGCATTTTTGGGTTTAAAGGGTTTCAGATCCGGGTATAGGAGAGTATGTAACACCCATATCTCGTATACCTTTATGTACACGAAATACATATGTCACATCACTTTAAAAACGTTTACTCATTTGAAAACCCGTAAAATTTTGTTTCAATCATAAATCCACATGAGTTAACACAATAATTAAATATTCATTGAAAACACATTACAAAATATTTTGTTAAGTTTAATTGCATGCCAGATAAGTTTCAAAATGATTACTATTGTTCTAATATTACTGACGAGTCAACCTTAGTTGATGATATATGCTGCTACGGCTGCACTCCTTACTTGATTATTCTCCACTTTTACCTACGCGTGAAAGTAACACACGTTAAGTATTTTCTTAGTGAGACATATTATTGTAAAGTAACCTTTATGTATACATAAGTATGTCATTATTTAGTTCACACTAAATTGTATGTTCTTTAAGGATTATATAATCCTCATTAGTTAAAACGTATTTCATTCAAATTATCATAATTATTTTAGTATACCTAGCATACTTATCTTTATTTATATTTTTTTCTTTTCCCATTAACTCTTTAGTCACTATTCCTTATTTTCATTGATAGCATCCATTCATGTTTATAATGCACCATTATGCATTTTCAATTATAGCATCCTTTCATGCTAATAATGCACCCATATGCATTTTAATTATGTCTTCCTTTTA